TTNCCCCTCGTGCTTGGGGCCCGGGCCATAAAACAGGTACCAGCAGCCTGATTGTTGAAATTTTGTGTTTGTCGGGTAGGCATAGATGACATAGGTTAAATGGCGGAGCGTGATTGGTCGGCTATGTCTTATCGCTGCGTTATCGTGCCTTTGTCAGGAGGAAAGGACGACATACTGTCGCACTATGGTCCCAATCCGCTCGGGAGCGCTCAAAAATCGATATTTATGAAATTGGACGACATTTTTTTTTCAAATCAAAATTGATAAATATAGTATCTACGGGTCATAAACTACACGTAGTATACCTCAAAAAAATTTCTAGTCACTTTGAAAGTGTCACAAACTGTGCAAATAGTCGGATACGTATTTTCTGACCCGTGAAGTGGCTATTTCTAACAAAGCGTTCGGAGCCTCTCCTGAATCATGAAATTGTCTCTCAGAATTCTTGCTTATACCATTTTGTAGAGGACTCTAAGAGGATTGTAACGCACTAATTACAATTTTTCTCCGAGGTATTCTGACACATCCCACACAAGGTAGAAGTTGGATACCTATTTTTCATAAAAAAATGCCGATTTTTCCCACGAACTTTCATTTTAAAAAAAAGTCACCAAAGGTCACCTAATAAGACACCTTTAGGGAGCTTCTACACATTCTTTGGAAGCTACAGTAGAAATATTTCGTGCTTTGGTTTGCTTTTTCTTGAGAAATCGAATTTACTAGGTCTCTAAGTCGGTGGCTAAAATAACGGTATTTAGCAAGTTTAGCCATCGATCAATCTGCAGTCGTCTTAAACTTTTTTGAGGCATGCGACACCTCCAAAAACGTGCTTAAGTAGTCTCTATGAATCCTTAAGAAGGTCTTTAAACCAAAAATTGTTGGTTCTTCTTGCTTTTTGGACGAATTTTTAATCTTTTTCGTACCTGCGTGTTTCCTTCAAAATACTGTTTTACAACCCTGGAAAGCCCCTCGAAAAATATTCTGAGACATTTGGCACCTCCAGAGACACTTTTAAGTCGTTTCTGCAGATACTTAGAAAGGCAACGGAACCAAAAATAATTGCTTCCGCCTGCTTTTTCGACCAAATTTGAATTTTTTACGTGCCTACGAGTTTGCTCCAGAAAAACTCAATTTTTTGCCCTGAAATATAGTTGCAGGCTTAACACGTGCTAAGCACTTTTGCATCTACAGAGACGCACTTATGTAGCTTCTATGAATCTTTTTGAGGTTGACCGTTTCGAAAAAAATTTGGTTCCCCCTATTTTTGGAGATTTTTTGAAAAGTTTTCCGTTCCGCAGTTTTATCTTTAAAAATGCTCTTTTCAATCCTAGAAAGTACCTATTGATGTAAAATTTCTTACTCCCCGAATATTTATCCATTGTTGATTGAATTTTTCTTAACGTGACAATAATGCACCCCCGCTCTTCAACATTGTTATGTACCCGATTTGCGTTTCCCGTCAAATCAACATAAAGAAAAGTCTTCCTGAAGCATTATTTCGACATTTTTAAAATACAAATGAATTTTAGATCTATTTCATTTTTTTCAGTTTAGTTTTCCTTAAAAAAAAAAAAAAATAATAATAATAATTGGGGGGAAAAATTAAAACATCCTTAATTTTGCGTGAACTGTACATGTATGTGCAATGAACGCATGGTTTTCATCCAATCTAAGCAAGTATAACAAGCCAATCGTATGGCAGTTTGTGATTTATGTGAAAAAATGACAGTAACTTTTGCAAATGATTTTTTAGGGAAAAGCGGAGGTCAAATTCAGATTCAGCGCATCAAAATCATGAGGAAAACATATCTTAAATGTATTTATACTCAAACGGAGAGCCGCTATGATTTTTGATCACTGAAAAGTGAATTGGGACCATAGTGTGTCGGTAACTTGAGAGGTGCCTTTAGCTTGTCGAGAGTTCCACCCGACATAGGCACGACAAAGCAGCGATAAGACATAGCCGACTAATCACGCTCCGCCTTTCATCCTATGTCATCTATGTCGTCCCTAGAGTACCTAGTCGTCCCGACAAACACAACATTTCAACAATCAGGCTGCAGGGCCCGAGATGGGATGTGACGGGCCTGCGTGGAGACAAGGCCCTAGGTATAGCAGATTGGAATCGGAATAATTTATTTTGATCAACTCCTCACGACAATAGCAAAGCGTGTACCAAGTTTAAAGGAAATCTCTTCGGTCAATTTTTCTCTAGGGGGGGCAGAGTGAGACGGTAAAGCAGCTTTACATAGAGTAATAAAATCAAAGGGGGGGGGGGGGGGGGAGGCGGCGGCAGAGTGAGTGGGAACAGCAGCTTTATATAGAGTAATGCCAGCATTTAATTTAGCATTATAATTATTAGCATATATAAATTGTTAGCATATAATTTATTAGCATTTAATTTACTTTTTATTTCCCTTTTTTCGTGAAGTAAAAGTAATTTTACATTAATGATTGGCCATACTTCAGGTCAAAGGAGCTTTGGACCTTTCTGCACCCGTCATCAGCTGAAGCGGGCACGTGGGAAAAGGAAGAGAGGGGTAGCCCGCGAACATACACCCCGTGCGCTTCAAAAATAGCGCGCCACGCCAACTTTGAACGGTCATAACTTTTGAACCATTTGTTTTCCCAAGTTAAACAGTAAACGATAGCTCGTTTTAAAGCTTAAATTGATAGCTTTTATTGTATTTGGTTTTTGAATGGATTCCTGCGTTCCCCGTCGTGGAAAAACTTGAAAAACTGAATTTTTAGGCTTGAAAAATCAAACAATGATTTTTTTCGCATTGAAAAATTAACAAAAACAAACATTATTGGACATAAAATTGTAAAAAGAAAGGTCTCGTCAAGAGCTTTCATTTGAGTCCAAGATCAAGTTGATCCGTTGTTTCGTTCAAAAGTTATGGCGGTCGGTGCGTTTGACCTTTGACCCCCTCCCCCTTGCCCCCTGGAAGGCTAGACGAGAGAAGTCACCGGATTTAGGCCTCTCCGATGATCCGTTATGATTCCTGAAAACATGGATGTAAAATCTCTTGCGGCCATTTCCTATGGAAAACGGGACAGCCTATTTGATATAGTAGCCCTCTAATAGACCATTTTTGCATGAGCCTTGGCTTGCATAAGGACATGCTAATTGGACTGCATTTTGCAATTAGGGCCTATATATTCTGGCTTATCTGAAAAAAACACTTAGGTGCATAGGGAAACTAATGGCACATACGTTGTTTTTAAACCGGGCCGGAATTTATAGGTCCAAATGGCAAAATGCAGTCCAACTAAGACCCCTAAGGAGTTCCATCCAGGAGAAGATATAAATATGGTCAAAGAGTTAATAGAATAAAATTTTGAGTCTGATTTGGGGCTAATTTTGCTGAGAAAAAAATTGATAAAATGGGGGATGATTTCCAAGGGTTAGGCGACATTAGGCTCTATATTGAAAAAACGATTGTTCAGCCAGGAAAAACAATTAGGTATCCACCAGAATTTAAAAAATTACTGCCCTGGGAAGTTGATGAAGACATTTTTTTCACGGTAGGAATTGAGCATTTGGTTCGTCAAAAATAATCGCCTAAGGTGCATCGCCAAAGGTGCAGAGAATTCTACGCCTTCACATTTTCGGTGGCAGCCTTTGGATTCATGCCTTCACATCGTTGTTCACATTAGGGTTGTCGATACTTAACCAATACTTCCAAAGTATCGGTGCTTTTGATCGATTCTCATTGAGACTTGGCATCGATACCAGGTGGTATGGATCCTCAGACCCCATTATCGATGATATCGATACTTATTCTTATTTGGCCATGTAGAAGGCCTCTTTCTCTTTTTTAACAACTTCTCTCTCTTCTGCTTCACCTTCACTATGCACTGTGACAAACGACAGAGTAGAGCAGTCTCATCGCTTGTTGAGAAAATGTCAATCTCTAATTACCTCCGAATCAGCACCACATGACAGGTTAATACAAGTAGTCAGATGGCAGCACTGATGAGTGGTGACCTAAACAATACTTGACTTTCATCTCAACATACGATGAGTCCGCTCTAATCAGGTTTCTCAAGATGATTACTTTCATTAGCACTATTAAGAGCTCCGTTCTATTAGTTGACTAAGCACGCGAATAAGGGCAGTTCCCAGAGAAGTGTAAAACTGGTGGAAGTAAACAGCGGACAGACAAGCGCACACTCTGAATTATGGCATAATTTGGAGATAGTATCAATACCTTAAAAGTATCGATGCTTCAGCTCGATGCTGAAGAGTCGATACCAGTATTGATACTTCCCCCGAGTACTGACATCCTTGCTTCACAAAAAAGTTGCGCCCTTCACTGTTTTCTTCCCATAAAATGGCGTACCTACTTTACTACTTCCTTCACGCAAGAGAGCGCATTACAGTTTCCTTTGAGAAAAGCTATGCGCTTAGCTGGTATAAGCCTTCTGCCTTCAGATTTTATCCCCCTTCCTAGGTGCCTTCGAATTTTTTTATATCTTTAATTTTACACAGAATATATATAACCTCCAGAGGGGGCTATCGTACTAGTCAACAATGCTGTACTTGCAGAGAAAAGGGAAAAAAGTGCAGGTATTTATGAGGATAATAAAAAAACATTCAAGAAGTTGTTAGGTACAGGGTAGAAGAAGTGACAGCTAGTTGACATTTAATCTGAGATCAGCCAATTGAGCACTAGCTGCTCTCCTCGTACCACACATTCTTGCTCCTCTTATTAACGTTGGCTTTCTAACCACAGATGTTGAGCATTTTTAGATTTTGATTTAGTTTATTTTTCTTACCCTTCCTGGCAAAAAAAGTGCTCATGAAAACTGAACTATTCATGAATTGTAAACATCCAAGGTTCCATAAGTTCAATAACAGTTTGATCCTGTGACAAACCATTCTAATGAAGCAAGTCGGTTTATCAGTCGACTGAGGTTACTACTTTTTAATGTGAAATTTCACAGTATTATCCCATGGGTAAATTTTGTCTTCTAGAAATGAGGTAACAACGAGATGATAACAGACAAAAGTGGTTTACTTTGAATTATAATTCACCAATATAAAAAGAACTGCTAAGCATATAAAATCAAACCGTTGTATCAAGGTAATTAATATTTAAGGGTAAGCTCGAAAATAAAAGTTAGCTATAATCCAGAATTCACAGACTTCTTGGAGCACTAGTTATGTCTGCGTCATCTCCCACCAAACCAATAGTTTCTACTCTGTTGATTCTAAGCATTGTCTCTTCTTTCCTAACAAATCGTGTCCGTTCATACTGCTTCCGGGGCTGTTTGCGAAATCTTGTCTTGGTGACACCCAATTTTTTTTCAACAACGGTGGCAGTAACAGATACTAAATCTCGGGATAGAACTGGTGTTCCGAGTAATGTGAAGTCATGTCCACCTACCAACAAAACTTTCTCTAATTTCAATTTGTCTCCAACTGTAGGCTGCCAATACCCTTCGATGACAAGTAAGTCTTCATCTGTAATTTTGAACTGTTTACCAGCAAGCAGGACAATGGCGAACAACCTTCCGTGTGACTGTTGTTGAATTTGATAATTGACTTTGGATACTATTCTATCACGGAATTGATTCTCCTTTGTTATTTCATCAGGTATAAACTCCTTCTGAGTTTGCAGCACACTATCTCTCGAACAAGTCCTGACACTGGCTAATTGGGGAGTCGGTGCACACACACAACTAACACCACTCAGTCTGGTAGCAATGGGAACAAGTCTGATTGCTGATCGAAACTGACTAAACATTTTCTAAAGGTAATTTGCAATGTAAGGAAGGCAGATGGTGACCTAAGGCGCTAAAAAATTAACCACGCCACATAACTTCATATGATATTCGAGCACACAAGAGGATGTGGATGTGACTCGTCGAAGCTAAGGATCTCCAAGTTGAAGTTCGACAAGTTCGGCCCCGAGACAATCTGTAACCGAAATGATGGGCGGACGCGGAACAGCGTTAGCACTATGTAGTAAGAGTAATCCACAATGACGCTAATCGGCACACATTTAGCGAAAAAATTATGCAGGTATCGTGAAGATCGAAAACTTAGAGTGCACTGGAACTGGAACTAATAATGCCGAGGGCAGATGAAATCGGGATATTCTGGAGAATTGGGGAGGGGGATCTGCATTACATTCTACAAAAAATGCCAAATACCAGAAGTTAGAATATGTATGGAAAGAGCTGCTGCCGAAGGAGACATTCGCTTTCAATTAGCACACATCGGACATTGAGAAACAGTAAAATCTATTGCTTACTTAATTTTTGTAAGAAAACTTAACATACCTTGAATATGTGAAACAGTTGAAGAATAAATTAAGTTAATAAGTTAAAAATTTGTACGTGAAAAAGATCGTGGTTTCAGAAAGTTGCCAGCACTGGGCACTGACCTCCAAAATGGCGATGATGGATTCAGAGACATTTTAAGCCGCAATCACACGTTGAATGTGGGAGCTGAATGAGGCTTGAATGTGGAAGTCATCGGCCCGATGCCTGAATCCTGAATTACGCAGTATGGCGTGCAACGATTCTCAGCAACTGAGCAACCATCGGACCAATATTGAATTTGCCTGAACTATTCGAGTAGATTTGATACACATCTGGATGAAAATGACTCGAATTTGCTAAATTTCAGCCGTTGGGCGATGACTGTTGACTTCCACATTCAGGTGCTAAATTCAGCGTCTGATTGCGGCATTAGGGCTGCACACACGTTCGAAATGTCGAAATGAAGCTTCAAAATGGTGGCTGTTGAGTCAAATTTTGCCATTTATGCCGCAATCAGACGCTGAATTTAGCAGCTGAATGTGGAAGTCAACAGTCATCGCCCAACGGCTGAAATTTAGCAAATTCGAGTTATTTTCAACCAGATGTGTATTAAATCTACTCGAATAGTTCAGACAAATTCAAAATTGGTCCGATTTCAGCCATCGGGCCGATGACTTCCACATTCAAGCCACATTCAGCTCCCACATTCAGCGTGTGATTGCGGTGTGACGTATAATACAATCTAGACCGCGCATTAGGAAATTTCGGCAAGACTAGAGTCCCTTCAGGCGAGACGATAAGCATCCCAGCAACACTCAGTAAGTGTACCGACCGAGACAGTATTGGACAATGGAAATGCCAGTCTTATCAGTGCCGTTGCCTGATACGGGTACACTTAGCTCGTATATCCGGCGGTATCAACTAGGTTGAAGGCGCGTCTTTACCCCCCTAGCTGTCTTACCTTCCCCGCCTAAAGTCGGACCCACTGCGCGGTCTAGATTGTATTATACAGGGTGATCCAAAAGTCCCTTCCACTCCCTCTAAATTTTTACCTAATTAAGGTAAAGATTTGAAACTTGAGGGATATTCCTAGGTAAAAGGGAGCTACTTTTTGGCCCCCCTAAAATTTTCAGGAGGCCCCCCTTGGGGGGGCAACGGCCCCCAACTTTTAATTTTCAAATGGGAAGACCCCCTTTGTGATAGCTCGTTCGAAAGAGCATAAAAAAAGAAATCTTTACGCGTAAACCCGAGGTCAATATCTCAAACCGTTTCAAAATGGCGGCCGGTTAAAGTTCAAAATGGCCGAAAATTCACACCGGTTATTTATCGAAGGATTTGCGCGAAAATCGGTATGTTGGGGTATTCTGACACGAGAATAACGAATTTGACGTTAGATTTTCAAAAAACCAAAATTTCCGAAATGGCCGCCAGTTAAAGTTCAAAATGACCAAAAGAAATTTTCTTAGAAATCTAAATTCAAATTTGTTTATCTTATGCCAAAATACTCTCAAATTCCAAGTTTTAGGCAAATCCATCAGGAAAAAACCGAGGTTCCAATTTTCGGCCAATTTAAACTTTAACCGGCGGCCATTTAGGAAATTTTGGTTTTTTGAAAAACTAACGTCAAATTCGTTTTTCTCGTGTCAAAATACCCCAACATACCGATTTTCGCGCAAACCCATCGATAAATAACCGGTGTGAATTTTCAGCCATTTTGAACTTTAACCGGCCGCCATTTTGAAACGGTTTGGGATATTGACCTCGGGTTTACGCGAAAAGTTTTCTTTTTTTATGCTCTTTCGAACGAGCTATCACAAAGGGGGTCTTCCTTTGACCTAGGAATATCCCCCAGGTTTCAAATTTTTACCTTAATTAGGTAAAAATTTAGTGGGGGTGGAAGGGACTTTTGGATCACCCTGTATACGTCAATTTTACGCATCGATGCGGTAATAAGCGATGGCTAGAGCATAGAGTACAATAGAGTTGCAATGTACTGGAGCGCCGATGAAGCCACTTTTGGAGGCTGTTTTGTCCAGTGGAGTACCTTCATCGACAGAGTATGGCCATTTCTGTTCCGGTGTTTCATTGGTCGCGTGAAAATAGGCTGACACGATGTTCTTACGGCCGTAAATAAACAAACAAGATTTTTTTTTTTTTTTTGACTTCAAATAGCCGCCTCACGGGCTAATCCTAGAGTCCCTTTATACCCAGAGTAACGACAACTCGATTATCAGCTGACTGGCAGCCGACCTTGGCTGGCCATGGAGGCCGACACGAGTGCACCTTAACGAACGATATTGAGGGATAAGGATCATGAATCCTGCGATGTCTGTCACACCTATGTCACACGAAAACAACAACATCAACCAATTGATCAATTAAAATGAGAATGAGATTGGTTTGTGAATAATTTCTTAATCTATTTTCATTTT